TTTCTTTTTGCCCTCCTTTTTTCTTTTATCTTGTATTTCTCATTTTTTTCCTGTTATCTTTATCTAATTCCATAAGTATCCTTCTACTACCTAATAGGAGCTTTATCTCATTTTGTTCTTTCTTATCTCTTCTGTTTTAAGTTTTCAAATTTTTCTTCTGGAATTCTCCCAGTATCTATCCCCTATAGTATAAAATTAGGCTTTGCTAATTTTTTGGGTTTTTTGGTACCGGGTATTGAACTCTAGTCCTTGTACTTGCAAGGCAGGTGGCCGAACCACTGAGCTAAATCCCCGGCCCTGGTTTGCTAATTTTTAAAGTTAACTTTGTATAAATACTGTTGAATTTTTTCTATGATTAGTGAAGGTATAGTTGTTGAATTTAATACATATTTGTTTTATGCCAATATCTGGATTGTCTTAGTGTTTAAATCATCATTGTGGAATTCGTTTCTATGATTAAGAACAGCACACTATTGGTTCTTATGGTATGTCAATAGCTAATTTGTCTTCTATCATACTGCTCATTTCCTTGATATTGCGAGGGTCTCATAATTGATGCTATTAGTGGTTTTTTCTTTTCTGTATGCTAACACCCAGATTATCTTCGTGACATTAATGATATTGTGGCACATTTTCAGAGAACTGGAAACTGGGCTAATTGTACTGCATTTTCCCCTCCCAAGTTAACACATGCTGTATGGTTTTAAGGCAGAAGCAAAGGACTGTAGTTAGCTATGCCCAAAGTATGTCACTGAAAATCAGACTAAATAAAGAGATCTCCATACTAGCAACAGACTCCATTATACATACACACAAACCTCAGCACAAAGCAAAGCAAACAAACGAAAAATACAATAGAAACATGCAAATACAAGGCAACAAAATTAATTCTAAAACTCCCAACTCTTCCAAATCCAATCTAGTGGGCTTCAAAAGAGAAAATAGCAAAAGCCACACACCAGAATTTTTTGAATAACAGAGGAGATTAAAAAACAAACCAAAGAGAGGCTTGATGGTGTTTCAGAAGATATAACTAAACACACAATGGGAATAATAAACAAAATGATCAGGGAGCTTATAGAAAACATTAAGAAAAAGCTAGATGAGCTAAACAAAATTATACAAAACATGAATGACCAATTTAGCAAAGAATTAGAGTCCATGAAAAAGTTTCAAACAGAAATCCAGGAAATTGTAAAATTCTATTGAAAGTATGGGGAAGCAGAAGTGAGCAATGTGAGGACAGAATTTTAGAATAAAAAGATAAGGATGGTTTAAAAGACCAGCTACTGAGATATACCTTAAAAGTAGTAAGAGAACATGAAAAATGGATCCAACAGCTGGCAGATAATGCAAAGAAGACTAATGAAAGATTTATTAGAATAAGGGAAGGAATGGAAGACAGTACAAGTGGCATAAAAACCTGTTTACGGAAATAAAAGCAGAAAATATTCCAAATGTAGGAAAATAAAGAAACATATAGATAAGGGAGGTATATACAACTCCAAATAGCTATGTCACATTATTGTCAAAGTACCAGAAGCCCAACACAGGGACAAAAACTTAAAAGCTGATAGAGAAATGCAATGAATCACTTAGGACTGTAAATTCATTAAAATTACAGTAGATTTCTCCACACCAACCTTACAGCCCAGGAGGGCTTGCAATGAAGTGATTCAAGTTCTAAAAGATAACAACTTCCAACCCAGATTTACATATTCTGCAAAACTTTCCCTCAAAGTTGATGGAGAAATAAGGTATGACCTTGACAAAGAACATCTCAAAAAATTCATGACCACCACAACCAGTGTTACAAAGAATTCTCAAGTTTACCCTAGAGAGTGAAAATGAAGACAACAATACAAATAAGTCAACGAGAATGAATACACCTGGCAAGGGTAACAGTTAAACAGAAGGGAAAGAAAGTAAGGAAATCAGCAACGGGAAAAAAGATACAATGACAAGAATATATCAGTACATATCAGCAATAGCTCTCAATGTAAATGGTCTCAATTCCTCT